CCCCCCCTGAATAGACGATGTTTTGAAATCTGAAAGGCCGTTTGCAATATTCAGGGTTGACTGACAAAAAATAAGCAAAAAAATATAAATAATAATTAATAATTCGTATTTTATTTTGAATATGAATGTGTATTTTAATATTGTCACACTAGACTGGTTACTAGATTTAGCAGCTCACTTTGCTTCTTATAGTAATGCAATATCTGTCAACAAATTTTTCGAAACTCTACTGCGTCACACATGTTTTTCCCAGCTCTACGCAGTTAGATATTATCTACCTTGTACAAACATGTTTACACGCTTAAATCCTTGGGATATCGGACTTATCTTTTTTAAATATCTAAATCTATTTTCAGATGACAGTTATCCTGATTAGAGGATCAATTTTGTGATCTGCTGACGAGATCAAAAAGTCAAACAGTATCACCAGCTTACACGCTCAATGCATGTGACGTCATACTTCTATGTTCCCAATTGAGCTTTCATTTCCGGCACAGTTTACGTGGTCGAGTAAGTAGCGCATTTGCATACAGTGCAAGGGCGCTTGTCGAAAGCCTGAGTTTGCTTGCATCCAGTGCTGTATGTGTGTTTGTATGCTATTTATTTACTTGTTTCGTGTTCATTTATGCAACGAACATACTTTATTATTTCTGGAGATTCATTGTGAGATGAAGATTTTAAAGCGGGGGGGGGGGGGGTCGTCACCTACCCACGCGCGGGAATTGAGTCCCAAGCGACGATAACAACACACGCCAACAAACGCAAAGGCTCATGGGTAGACGCTTTAAAAATAAATCATGTCGAAGTCATGAGCATTGGAACAGTTAGGTATAATATTTGGTATATATTGTGAATAAGAATACAGTTGCCTTTCCTCCCTGCTCCCTTCCAATCAACTGGTCGGGAAACGCTTTAAGATGTTGGCAGGTCTTTTAATTGTCATTTCGCAAACATTGATCACAAAACATCGCTACCACGCACTTCCGGTTTCGACTTTTTATTGTGGGGATGACAGTTAGCCTGATTGAAGGGTTGTTTTGGTAATCTACTGATGCGATCAAATGATTAAACAGAATCAGTTAGCTTAGACGCTCAGAACCCTGGGACATCAAACTCACCTGTCATACTGACAAATGTGCTGACGTGGTATGAGCACAAAGTACACCCACTGTAAAACAAAAATGCTAGCCTGTATAAAAAAGGAATAGACTTTTTTCATTTCCCATTATTGTCTCCTTGTTAACTGATCAACGAGGTTTGTCTGCTGATCTCGGTATGTAAGTACAATATATTTATTTTTCATTGCACATTACTAATGGATGATGATTTGCTGTTGATATGTTTTGAAACTTATACAACCATTAGGGTACGTACAAAATCCAACTTTGTAATGATTGGCAATTATACACAGTGTGTGGCACGCGTGTAACAGAATGTTCTCACTTATTTCGAAATACTCCATCTATTGTTTATTTTGTGTGGCTTGTTTCGTCAATTGTTGTTGGCATTTTGTGTTCTTGAGATGTAAACATTCCTATACGACTTTTTGTTTCTTTTCACTTTTTTTTTTAAAATTGGCCTAATCATGTCATGTGTGATTTCGATATACAGCTCGGGTAAAGAGATATCCAGATGTCCGTCCTTCCTTTCGAATATGTGTGTTACTGACCTAAATCTAATGGTACAATGAATCTCTCCTCTCGAATACGTGTTCCAATGACCTAAGTCTAATGGTACAATGAATCTCTCCTCTCGAATACGTGTTCCAATGGCCTAAGTCTAATGGTACAATGAATCTCTCCTCTCGAATACGTGTTCCAATGACCTAAGTCTAATGGTACAATGAATCTCTCCTCTCGAATACGTGTTCCAATGACCTAAATCTAATGGAACAACGAATCTCTCCTCTCGAATACGTGTTCCAATGATCTAAATCTAATGGTACAACGAATCTCTCCTCTCGAATATGTGTTCCAATGATCTAAGTCTAATGGTACGATGAATCTCTTCTCTCGAATA